GGTTAACAGGGTCGCTCGCTCTCTCGCTCGCTCGGGCGCCGCTCTCTGCGAAAAATTAATGGGGCGTCAAGTCGAGTCGGAGCGAGGGTGGGGGTTAATCTGGCGAGCCGCATGTAACGAGTGGAGGAGCACCCAAGGAGAAGCCGCCGCCGCCACCGCTTCTTCAAATGCTTTTGCTTAATCCCAGTTTTATAAGCGGCTGTTGCGTCGGCAGCGAATATTGCTCCCCTCGGAAATATGCACGAGTGATATTAAAAGAAGGGCTTCTTGCTCAACAACCCCTGCCTGCCTGCCTGCGTGCAACAAGGAACTCCTTCTTGTACTACGTGTGGCGATACGCAATCGTAAAAGCCGCCGGGCCTCGTATAATAAAGAGACACACATGCGAGATAATATTTCATCAGTTTCGTTTAAGCTGATTTCAAAAGCTGCAAGGATCAAAGGGGGTCATCAAAAATGCCAGGGGCGTCATTATTATTATTTTCACGTCGGAAAGAGAGTTATTATTATCGGTTATTTTCTATTTCCTTTGAAGTTGGGGTGGAAATCAAAAGCACGTGCGGCAACGAATATTAACATTGAGGAGAGAGTGGAGTAATAAAATTATCTGGGCCACTCTGTTATGACAGAAGGGGCTAATCAATCAACAGCCTAAACTGATTTACATAGTTTATCAAAACGTTTAAAAAGTGGATGGGAAAGCGTGGAAATAAGAATTGAGAGGGCGAAAAAGTATACATGAAAGTCTGTAAAAGTTAAAAAAAAAAAACACTTCATTATTGTGATTTATTTTCAATAAAAAATCTTCATTAAAAAATATGTGATTAAAATCAGCATAATGGATAATGGACTATAAGAGATGAAAAAATATTCATAAATGTTTATTTAGTGCAGAGTGTAAAATTTGATTTCCATGAGTGTTGAAAACGCAAAATCAAGTTGGAAAATGTGGAAACGTATTATATTTAATTATAAATATATTATTATATTTCCCCCATAAATAATGCAATTCTGTCTTTAGACTAAAATTCTATAAATAATACTGTCAACCAAAAAAAAAGCGATAATTGTTTAAATTGGGTGAAATGAAGAGAAAAAAATAAAAAGTATTGCAAAAATTAATTTTAAATAACGCGGGCGCTTCACAACACTTCAATTAAAATTAAGGGAAATAATGTTCTCCATATATTTTTTTACGAATAAATTACATTTTGAATTCATATTTTTCACAAATTTTAACGTTTTTTGCTTCTAAATTTCCAAACTTTGATATTCAATGATGAAATTTTTGTTCCAAAACACAAGAAGCAAGGGGTAATTGGAATAATTATTTAAACCCACGCTTGGAGGCATAAATGTATGTGCACTCTGCTTGGTAAGCAAGTTTCGTAGTTTTGAGCTTGAGGTATATTTCTATAAATATTTCTTCTCTTGCTCACGTACGTTTGTTTCCTCTCGGAGCTGCGAGGCGTTTTGCCAGTAGTTTGGTGTGAGCAAGTGCGTGCTCGAAACTCGAGAAAGCGCGACTTAGTTGCCTAAGCCCGCGAGTAATTCGGCAGAATTCAAGGCTTCCTTCCGCTCGCGAGACGCACCCATAACTCACCGCCAATTATTTTTCATTTTCCCTCTCTCTCTTCTCTCTAGGAGGAAGGAAACGAGATTACCCTAAACGCGCGCACACTCAACACCGGCGGCGGCAATATCTTAAATTTTCAGCACCCGGCCTCCCTTGTATGTACAAACGCTGTCTGGCTAGAGAAATTTCACTTCACCTGCGCCACCCCTCCCGCGCTTAATTAAAATCTCCCCGTCTATTTTTCATCATGCACACAATCACGCGCTTCCTCCTCCCCTAACTCTCTTTTGTCTCTACATTATTGGTTTTCTGAACCTAACATGGGAAAAGTTCGTGTTTGCGGTTGTTTCTATAAAACTATAGCCAGCAGCTTGCTTGTTGCCCCCCGGTGAGCTAATTGTTTCATAAATTCTGCTTAAATGTTGCTACTGGGAATTAGAGCTACGAATGAAAATTGAATACAAAATTTAATGAACTTTCCAAATGGGGGAGATTTTTCCAACAGCTTTATTGACGGGATTGACAATTTGTAAATAAAGGTATATATATTTAGATTATCCTACAATTTATGATTGCTGTGAATTAATTGGAAAAGTTTTATGCAACAGCAAATTTAACTGATATAATATTTAATTATTGTTAATTGTAAGAAGAATCTGAGGAGCATTAAATAATAGAAAATGTGATTTTGATTTACTAAAATCCATTAGGAACATTGCAAATACTTAAATTTGCTATGTTATAAGTAATTATTTTAACTGTGTCAAAAACTGCTTTTTATATTACAATAATTTTTTACTATGATTTACAAAATACTATCAGTTTTAATTTTTTTTTAAATTTTATTATTTTAATTTTTTTTGCAATTTTTATTAAATTGAATAGTTTAAAAAACAATCCAACATTGTTCTTATTTATATTTTAATAATATGCATTGTTTGATCTTTGAAATTTATATTCAACGCAGAAGTTGATAGGTGATAATATTAATAAGTTGCCTTATATTTTCACTCTTGATACTCCGGTTTTTAATTTTTTTTTAAATACATTTGATCAAAAAGAAATAGTTGGCTGCACACCCTTGAGGAGAATACATATCACAAATATCAGTTAGATTATTCAGTTACCGATATTATAATGTCAAACGTCAGAAAAGATCAGTTTTCAAAAAGAAAAAAAATTTCACAATTCTCTTTTTAATAGTTAAATTTGTATCTCCAGAGATTTTTAATAATATTATTTATTATTATACACACAGATAAAATTAATTTGTTTAGTTTAAACCATTAAGTAACTTGAAAAAATTTCCCTTGGATATCGTCAGTAATCAATAAATTTATACATACACATAATCAAATTTAATTATGTTTTATTCACACAAAAAAATATTGCGAGAATCGGGAAATACTCCAATTTGAACCATTTATCTATTGACCTGCCGATTTTCATGCAGATCGATGAATCTATAAAATGTATACATTTTGTCCCACAGCCTCAGTAGTGCATTATTTTGTACTCCCTATTCCCCATTCCACTTTTCTATTTGTCTGCAGTCGTGCTCTGCTCGTTTGATTCGCGTGTTCTCTGCCGAGCACTCGAAGTGAAGAAGAAGAAGAAGTAGTTTGCGGCGTCTCTCGCGAGTATTTTCGACGGGTCTTTCAGACACACGTCCCTGGCCATTAACTGCCTTGCCGAGCGGTCTATATTCGGCTCGTGACTGACAGGACGAATGGATGCAAAATTTATATATGCGATCACATGCCGCGTTTCTCACGCACTTTTCTTTGTGTGTCGCGCGCCAATCGATGATTATTACATCAGCCCCATGTTTATTGAGTGCCGCGTAAACAACCCTTAACAATGGAAATAAATTCGACGCCATTTCCCGCTCTCCCCGAAAAGGAAATGGAAATTTATTCAACATAATGACAGAGTTAAACTTTTGTCCGCAGGAGGCTGGATTATTATTAAGAATTAAGCGCACTTTATTGCAATGTGCGAGCGAAAGATAAAATTAAACCCTCGGCCGCAGGGGATATTTCTCCAAATTCTGATCCTTCCTGATTCAAAAGTGAATTGAATAAAACCACAATTCTCGCGTTTTGTTTTATCAGGCATTAACGCAGGGCTGGGAAATTATTCGGCGGAGGAAATCGATCGACTCGCTCTCGGCGTGTTACTTTTAATTGGGGCTCGATTTCACGAGACAAAGTGGCTCCCCTTTAATTTCCACTTGACTTTAAATTGGGGGCGGGGACCGTCGTTGCCGCCGCCGGTCGACAAAAAGCCATGCCTTGCATTAATGTAAACGACCAAAATGGGCTTGTTAAAAGTTTCCGAGGCTCTCGATAATAATGTACTTTTATTTAGGCCCCAGAGGAAGGGAAAACAAGAAGTCGGAATTGAATTGGAACGCTTCTGCTCTGTGTTTTGAATTAATTTGTAATGAGAGAAGCCAATGAATATAAAAGCGATAAAGATTTCATTCAGCTTTCGTTGCACGAGTGGAAAATGAGTATTCGGGAAGTTTCGAAACTCTGAGATAAAATTGTGGATTTCCGTGTTTAACAAATAAATTATTCACTATTGAATGTAATTTAAATGATGCATATTATAAAATATTCAAATTAATTTATTTTTTATTTTCATAAATCAATTCAAAAGAGTGTTTTAATAATAATTTAATAATAAGTTTAAGATAATTTATAAACAAATTTCAGGTAAAAATACAAAAATAAAATTTTGTTTAATCATTAATTTTTTTTAAAAATTAATCTGTAGGTTTAGTAAGTTTTTTTAGATAAAAAAAATGTTGTTTGGTGTAAAAAATATTACGTCAGGATTCAGATTTGTAAAAAAAAACTGCCCGGTGCTACCTTTTGCTACATTTCTGTTGATTGGATTAAGTCAACAACTACCCCTAAGGTATTGCTTTGTTCTGTATATCAAAATTCTAATTTGAATGTGCAAAAGAGACACAGAGGAATGCTTTTTGCATCGAATGAGGACCAAGGTTTTTTTTCGGATTTATAAATTGTTTTTTCTTATCCTCACAAAAATCAACATTTGATTTGATTTTTCTCAGATTCATGATTGCAAATTTCTATTTAATTAATTGAAGAGATAATTTTCAAATCAGCTAGAGCCTATTTTCTTATAAAAAAATTATTTATAACTAGTTTTCATTCGTTTTTGTGTGTCTTTACTATGTTGTTTAATTATTTATTATTTTGAATTTGAATGCATAAATTATTTAATTGGGTAGCGATTGGCATTATTAATATTGTCAAATTTAAAGTATTTCATTTTCTATTTAACCTGATGTTTTAACTAGTTTTACGCGTTAAACTTATTTAAATCTAAACTTTTTTAATTTCAAGCTTGGAAATTTCCGCAACGTAATAAATTAAATTGCGAAACTTACCGTTTCCTGGATAATGCGGAGTTTCTCGACGGACTTATGGTTGAAGGAGTCCATTATGAGGTTCCGAAGGGTGAGTCTCATAAGCGGCTGCAACTCGGAGCCCTTGGTGCTGAACGCCATCAGCGTACCCGAGCCAACCACGGCTAGGATGAAACACAAAACCTGCAGACCTGCGAACTGAAGAAAGAGAAAACCATTTGATTACTTTTTTTTCTTTGGAAGAAAATTGATTAGGTCTAGCAATTTGTGCAATTTTTTGCTTCCGGTGAAGACCGAGCAGTGCAGCGACAATTAAGGTCAATCAGTCCATTTTGTGTCAATTTTTTCCTCTCCTCTCCTTTCCTGTCCAGAGAGAGCTTTTAGCGAAGAAATTACAAAGCTGCTCTCAGCCCAAATTGACCAATTTGAGCAGAAAAGTGACCGATAGGAAGTGCGGTGGCGGCGCGTGCGTTTAAAATTCATAAAGGGTTCGGAATTGGCTCCGGGCTGGCAGGTGGCCAAATGGGAGTACCGCCGCACTTTCGCGATTGTTATTCACTCAGCAGCCCATTGTTTCGCACCAGCGGCGGTGGCAGAAGGAAATTAATTCGGAATTACCTGCGCCGCCGCCGTCGCCGAAAGTTCTCATTTGCATGCCGAGCGCGCGGTCCGCCCTTTGCAAGAAAATGCACCCCAAACTACTTGTGCATGCTAAGAAAGCAAAAGAGACACTACTTTTTTTTTATATATCTTTAGCTTTCCTTTTCATTTTATTTTTTTCCTCCCACCTTCGTTCGGTTAAAAGTGTGTAATTCGCTTTTCGGGGAAAAATTTCGTTCTCCATTGAGGCGCACCTGCGGTCGTTCGCAGCAGCACCACTTTGTCTTGATAAATTTACGGCCCCGGTGCAGCTTTTTCAGCCGCGTAATCCTCGTGTCATTAGCGGGCGGGGGCAGGTGCGACCGCTGCCGAAAGCCAACCCCCATTAACGGGCATATTACTTTGTTAATCCTCTTAAAAACATACGATGACGCGAGTATGATTCCACCAAAACGGGGAAAAGCCCGGCCAAAATGACCCCGAACTCGCCACCAATTGCATCAGGTCACATCATAGCATGAATAGAGAAATATAAAAAAAAATTTAAACAAGCTAAGTATTATTATTTTACTTAAAAATTTTATAACTCGTAAATTATTTTGTTTTTAAGGCTTAAATTATAATTTTTGTGGATATTTTTTAACATTGCATTTAATTTATAAATAATTTAATGATTATTTGATCAAAATTAGAAATTCAAGGCTGAGACCTAAAACTATGATATTTCAAAATTTATTGTAACTAAAGTTAAAAAAAAAAAATTATTTAGAAGCCAAAAATAGGTTAAATACTCTTAAGAAGAACTCCCAGAGGATGCTCGTAACGTCTGTGTCACTTGAATGAGGAATTATTTAATTAATTAACTTCACGTATAAAATCTTAAAACTATCAAAGCTATAGTCAGCTTAGAAATCTAAATTTTAGCAGATTGTGTGCCATGAAAAATTAGACGTAATGCTTATTGCTATGACCAATTAATGCAACCAAATAGCAAATTCAATTATTTAAATTGAATACTAAAAATGAAATTTAAAGGAGAAAAGCGAAGCACTGGATAATTATGAATGTAAATATTGTGGTGAAATACGTAAACAGTATCATAAAAAAAATGAAAAAAATGAGCCTGCTTAAAGCGGCAAAATGTATAATTAAAATGAATTAAATTTTATGCTGCAAGTGTTAAGTTGTAGCAAGGCATTTTTTTATTCAATAAACAACATAGGAGAAAAAAAGAACCTTTAAAAAATTTCCCCTTTTTTATTGTAGCAAAATATAATATGGAGCCATGAATTACTTTTGTAGAAAATAGCGTCAGGAGCTAATAACAGCCGAGTGCTGTTGGCAAATAATTCTCAGCCGATATTTCACCTCCAGAGGGTAAAACAAACAGACAGAGAAAATTATGAAATAGAGTGGAATCCCGCGCGCGCCGGTGTAATTTTGCCGTCGTTTTCTCCACTCGCGTGCCATGAAAATCTGCGATCGCAGGTAGGTGAGTTTTGAGTTAGCTGCTGCATGCACTCAGCCCGCACACACACGAGAGCTCCATTTGCGCTCGAAATTGTTATTACCCCTTTCCTTGGTATATAGTTGTGCATCTCCCATCAGTAGCGGCTGCGAGAAAATAAAGAAAGAGAAATAAAGGTTTTTTTTCGCGTCGCGTGTAAACACGGAAAGCGCTCTTAGCTGCTTTCAGAGTACGGAATTGATGTATTTGCTCACGAAACACGCCATAAATTACAGAGACAATGAAATTATTTGCTGCTCATTGTAGAGTAAAACATCAAGAAACTTTTCAAAAGACTGATCGGAAAGAGGGAGCAGTACAGAGAAAACGGAAATTGGTTTCTTTGCAACGGATTTTTCGGGGGATTTAACAAGATCACTTGTCGGCTCGAAATCAAGTCTGAAAAACGCGTGTTTCTTGTGAAATCTGATAGGGAATGTGTACGTACAAGGGAGATTTGTCAAAAGTTCGTGCTCAAAAGTGTAATGCCTTGGGCGGGTTATCAGTTTTCACGGCAGGTTGGAGAGGAAAATGCAAAAGAAAATGAGTTTTCATTTTTAAAATAAAAACTCACTTTTTTGTATTAATATTTACCATTTTTTGTTTTGATCCAGGAAAAGTAATACTTTTGTATCAAATTTCGTTTATTTACTTCGACTCTTCATCCTTTTACTTTAATTTATCTGATAAGAACAAGCTAAAAAAAAAAATCGTTGCTTAAGGATTTAATGGCAAATAAAAATTTCAATTACTTGGAACTTCTCCTTTTGTTTCTCAAATTTTGAAGTTATTCAATTATTCAATTTTAACTTCTTCAACGATGATTTTTTTTTAGCTATTTACATTTTTTTAGTAAATTTTTATCTTTTAACAACAATAAAAGACAAAATGGAAACGTTAAAATTAATAAAGCTGTACACAATTGTGCACAAATTGTTTTCACGGAGTGCTGGCAAAAAGATTTTATCGGCAGGAAATTAAAGACAGAGAGTAAAGCACCGAAGCTTTTTCATTTTCAGCGTGCACGTTCTTTCGTAATCTCGTTTGGGTTCATCTGCTGCTGGCTGGCGTGCAATTTTTTTTCGCCAGGCCGACTTTTGGTCGTTGTACGCGAATCAATCTTTTTAATGGATCGCGCAGAATAAACAGCATTTCCATTCACAGAGACAAATAAAAATATATATACAAGTTGCCGTAGCATACAAAATGGGAAGGGCTTTTGATGGAATTTCGCCTCGCGATAAAAATCTAGCAGAGATTTTCGTACGAGCCGAGCACGCGAACCGCGAATTAGCGCCGGCGCTTTATTTGATAATGACGGTATCGCGCGCATAATTTTTAACCCCACTTTCTTTCCGTCTCCAGTACGCAATGAAAATGTAATTAATTGCATCTCGTGCTGGCAAACTGCGATTTGTCACTTGTTGTCGCGACAGCGAACGCGCCGAATTCGGGAAAATAATTACTCGAGTTTGAGTTTGTAATGGCTGGCCGGCTAGATTTCCATCCAGACAGTTTAACAATTGCAGATGAATATCGCACACATATGCGTGGGCCAACATAAAAAATTGTACGTAAGCGAGTGGGGTCGTTAAAATCTACTTGGGTCGAGCACGTTTTACGTTAGATTTAATATGGGTCAGTAAAATGCACAATTGCATGACTACCATTTTTTGTTAGTCGTTATGATTTGATTGTTTATAATTTTGTGAAACTTTTTTGAGGCTATTTTATATCAGTTACGAGAATGTTCTAAAATGGAGTTTTTTTTTTTTTAATTTTACTTACTGGGGTATCTGACTTTATCGCAAAACTGTAGTTAAAATCTTATAATACATAACTATTTACTTATATATTCATATAAATACATTTTTAAATGTTGTATTTGAATAATGTAATCATGAAATACAAATAATATTATAAAATTAATTGATTAAAAAAATAATAATCAAATTAAAGACATTTTTTTAGAACAATTATCCAAAAATATTAAAAACGTTTTTACACATTTAATGATATAACAAATTATTATAATTAATTGTTTCTTTAATTTAAACATTAAGTTTAAAAGCTGAACTATATAGTACTGGAGGCAAAAATTCTAATAATTAAAGTAACAAATATTCAATAAATTATTCTCATTTCTCTTCCAGCAAGTTGAAAGCAGTAATATTAAAAACAGACAATATTTCGGAAAATCCGTTTTTGCAAATAAATTTATTGACATATTCAACCAGCATAACATTGAGCTACAAATTACGTATAATCAAGAATTTTTAACTGAAGCATCCAAAGTAGAATAAAATAATGCAGAATAATAATAAAATTTTTGCTCCATGAAATTTACGGTTACTGATTATTGTCAAATTACGCAGCCAATTAAAAAAGTAATTAAGTTAATTTATTGCAATCTGGAACACTTGAAGTTGGAAGTCATCACAGACCTCATTATTTTAATTCCATCGTCGTGGAAAACCAGGTGATTAAATAATCAATTACAATTCACTTGAAGACAAAAGAATGAAGCATCTACAAGCGAGTAGCAAAGACAGAATTAATGCAAGTAGCTCGGTAATTTCCATAATCTCTAATGAAGAAAGCGCACCATTGCAGCGTAAAATATGCAAACGAGCCAATCTCGTCTCGCAAATTGCATTCATTTCGCTGAAAAGTCCTACGCGGCGCATCTCTGTCTCGCGGGGTCGCAAGAGGAAAGAAAGACATTGGCGCAATTGCATATCTGCCAGGGAAATTGCACGAGTCAGTCAAGTCAGTCAGTTGAAAAGGCAAATGCCAAGCGGGAGAGGAAAATAAAAGAGGTCTCTTTTCTCTTATGTCTGCACTCCTCGTCTCCCCCTGCATTCCATTTCAATAAAGCAGTTGTGTGTGATTCGATCAACTTTCTTTTCTCTTTTTCTTTCTTTGACGAGCGCAAACTCAATAGAGAGAAGCGAATGAATGGACTGCCGACGTTTTGAATTCAAAGAGCTGCTTTTTGTTCTTCGCTCGGCGCGCAATCATAATAATTTGCTTTTGATGAAAACATCCATCGTGCATGTATTCGGGGGAGGCTCTTCCCAAATTGCATTCCCGCGCAAAAGAGAGTTGAGTGAATTCGGCATCGATTTCCGACCGAGATTAAAAATACGTGCGCCTTGAATTGAAAGCAACCATAGCTAGGGGAGAAGTAGTGGATTGCAAACCGCCGACCGCAGCAGCACAGGCAAATCTACGCGATATCAAGAGTGGTTTGGCTTTGCAGAAAAGCCCTCGTAGACCTAAAATCCAATCCCTAACTAACCTCAGCGGGAGAAAATTTGAGCTTAAAACGAATCTTTTCTAAATTATACATAATTAATTGCATAAAAAAAATTTAAAATTGCATCAGCTCTATTTAACAGTATAAGTTTATAATTTTAGATAATTAATTAAGTTATAAATTGATGATAGTAATATTGCCTCAATTTTTTGGCCCGGCACTACTGACTTTAAAAAAAATTGATGTAGTGAAATTTGTAGGAAATTAAAATTATTAAACACTAAATCTCTCCACGAAAAGAATAAATTACAAAAATTATAAAAAATACATAATGCTATATTTCAGATTTTATTTTTTAATATTTTGATCCTTTCATGTTATTAATCGCCTAGTTCAGTTCGTCAATCCGCGACTGGAGCAAAAACGCAGGACGTAATCCCCCGATTGATGGATGGACTTTCGAGAGTCTCGGCGGCTCTTCCGTTCACTCGGATTGTTTGGCGTGCTCAATCATCCGCGCACATCGTGTCTCGCCCTCGAAGCGTGTGTGTTGCTCGACGTACACCGCCAAGAGGTTCATTTCGAGTTAGCCAGGAATAAAAGAGTGCGTGCAGCAGACGGAGAGAGAGAGGAAAAATGCTGAGTGAATAAAAAGAATCCAGACGGAAAGAATATAAAAAGTTCACCAGCGGTTTCGCTCACAATGAAAAAAAAAAGAGGAGGCTTCTTTATTCAATGAGCGCACTCCTGAGATTTCTCTTCTATAAGAGTTCATTTGCTTCGCAGACTCGCATTATGCGCAGAAACTTGAAGGGTTGAAATAGATTCAAGGCTCGCCTTTTGTGGAAATGTTTAATTGAAAGGAGCCTTTTCGTGAAAAGCATTTATTTAAACAGGTATGGTGGGATGAGTGCGGTGGCCTATTTCATTTTTTAAGAGAGTTGAACTGTTTTGGGATCTGATTTGGTTTCGCCCATAAAATTATCCATCAAAAATCAAATGAAAAATAAGTTACGTTCGTAAAAATATTAAAATTCATAAATTTCAATTTAATGGATACTGAGTATTCAATTCACTGTTCTGATTGTCATATTTAAAAAAAAAAAAAAATTAAAAAAGCAAAATTTTTAAATTATTTTCTTAAATTCTTTTACATAAAGATGAAATAAAAAAATTACAAAATAGACCATAAAATATTAAAATTTAATAATTATTTTTAGAACTATAATAACTAATTGTAAAAAATTGTTACATTTTCTTAAATGTTTTATTTAAATATTAATATTTCAGGAGTCAATTAGTGTAAAAGAAAATTTATTTATAAATACTTCACTATTGGTGCAATAAAATGTGTGATGAAGTGATGATTTTTATCAAATAAACTTCATCCATACTCAATTGCATTAATTGACATTGAGTAACAATTTTTATAAAAAATCATCTGATTATAACAGAAATTCATTCTTATTTCAACTCCACACAAGAGAATTCAGGCTTCGCTTCACGAAAAACAGTCCCAATTTTCCTGAATGCCAAACTTGTTCAAATTTGTTGAAATTCGGAAAGCAAATTCGCGCTGATTGCAATTACACGCAGCAAATGTCGATTAATTCCCGAGCAAACAGTCCCTTCCGTCGGCAAACAATCCAAAGTTGACCCTCTGTCTATCTCGTCCCGCTGAAATTTACATTTCGTTTTAATCAAATTACAGCGCGTTCGGCTCCAGGACGCCCCCGTGTTTGAAAAATGGCACATGCCGCGAGAGACGTTTTATTTTATTTCGACAGGAAACGCAAACAGCAGCGCGCGCACTCTTGTTTAGCCAATTTCCGTTTTGCCTTTTGTGTTTACCTTTGGATGTGTAAAAAAAAACGCACTCACTGACCAACTCCTCTGTCGAGCGAGCAACCCGCGGCGTTGGAAGCCAGACCGAATGAAATTTCAATGATGACCGAGCCCGGCCAACTTATGAATAAAAAAGAGGGCTGTCGGCGCAAAAACATGCCTTTCTGACGCAATTAGCGGCTGACGAGCGAACACTCTCTCTCGTTCGCAATAATAATCAACAATGAACTGCCATGGAAATTGAAAGAGTTGATTTGGCTCTGAGTTTCGCAATCAATTTATAATTTCTTCACTGAATTTAACCAAGTTAGTAAAAAAAAAAACTAAGAATTAAAAAATATACAAACCATTTGACCTTAAAGACGTTTAAAATCTAAAAACAACAACTGTCAAACATACTTGGTGTTTTGACAGTGTTTGAAATTTTTCCAGAATTGGAATTGAACTTTAAAACTGAAATAAATTTTTTAAAATGTGCTTAAAATAGAAGAATATTTAGCTCATTAAACCATGTTCCCCAATGGATCGACAAAGTCGTCAGTTAATTGCAACAATTATTGCAAATTTGGAATGGCACTAAGCATTCTTATTGGGTATAAAATTTTAATCATGGAGCTCAAACGAAATCAAATCGTGTATTTCATTGTTGTAAAGTGCGGAGTTTTGTTGCTTTTTTTGCCAAATTCATATTTTTCGTTCATGATCTTGAATTTTTACTTCGAACAATAATCAAAGGACTAAAAGGCATAAAATTTTTCTCACATTTTCACGTGAATGGTCATTGGTGGTAATTAAAATATATATTAATTAACAATGAATTAAATTTTCTTTCATTCAAATGTTTTAACTTGTAAAATTAAAATAATATTAAATAAAATTTAAAATAAATAGAACAACATAAAATTTAAAAAATAAATAATTATTGAAAATTTTAAAGATATATTATAATAATACAAATATTTAAATGCGTAAATTATATTTTTTTGTATAGTTTTTTTTAACAAAACAACTTGTTAAGCTGCTCTGATTAATTTGCAGTGAATATCTCAAGGCGAACACACAACTTTTGGTGTTGTGGACCCTCATTCTTTCTTTCTTACTCTCGGCCAGTGATTCAATTAGGCTCGTAGCAAAATGGAATGAAAAAAAGCGGTGGTAAATGCGAGTGCGCGCTTAAGACATTATTACAAGGCCGGTCGGGTTAAGCGTGCGTGAAAAGAGTTAAAATTCCGCACGCGGCACCAGAGACCTTTTTTATATTTTATTTATGCTCGACGGGGCCTAGGGTGGAAATTTAATACACTCGAGGTTTGCGTCGTAAGTCACTCTTATATTTATTTCCAGCCTGATTGATTTAACTGCCGGCCACTTCAGAGCGACTGCTGCGCAAAATGAGTTTGCTTCTCGAACTTTGCCAATTTCTCTGCCAATCGAGTGTGTTTGTCTGGAAATTGCGTTACGGCGGAAGCGAGCAAAAATTGTTTTTATGTGTTCGCGGAAATTCTCTCTTCCTCGAGAATACTTTCTACGCTCAAAAGATCAAAGGATTTACTCACTAATTTGAGTTTTCCCGACTGCTCCATGAGTGCGCCGAGGCAGCCCAAAATGCAGACGAGCATCACGACAATCCCGCATATCAGCAGCACGTAGATCCCGGCGAAGAACTGCGGGATCTCGAGCATGCTAACCCACTCCTGGAAATCGTTGTCCAGCAGCATCCATAGCGACAGAGCGATGATCGCAATACCCAAGGCCTGAAAGCAGAACGACCGAAAAGTTAGTGAGTTGGTAACACGGTCTGAAATGTTGGGGACATCAAAGGACCTTAGGCACAAGTGAAGGGCGGACTTTAAAAAATTCAAAGTTATTCACGTTGATGAATGGGTAGAGGGATGCCATTATTAAGGGAAATGTAAACAAAAAAATAATAATGACAGAAAATTTTCAAACATTAGAACATTTTATCATAATTTTCCTACCACAGTATGTTGTGGTTGACACAAAACTATAGTATGTTATTTTAAATTAAAGAAAAAAATTGTTTAGCACATTGATCAATGTAATTGGAATAAAAATAATCTTAACAGACAATGAAATAATATATAATTATAAATTTGAATAATTTAATTCAGCATAAAACAATTTTTTTTTTAGCTACTCTATGGAGAAGGATTTCGCGATACAGGATTGTTTCACAGTGTTTGAATTGATACTCAGATTTTATAGGTGAATGGTTTATTGTTGCGTAGAAATAAAATATCCTGCTTGAAATACTGAACAATCAAGCAACCCATCAAGTAAAAAGGTGAATTTAATTGTAAACTTGAAATTCTTTCTTGCGTTGGAAAAATGGTTGGAAAATCAGTTGAATTTTGGCAATAATGTTAAGATTTTAGTTGTAAAAATTAAAAAAAAAAACTCAATAAATGCAAGTTTTAAAAATTTACACACTAATATTAAACTATAGATTTGCAAACAATTACACTAAAAAAGCTCGTATCACAACAGAATTATTAAATGTAATGGAAAATGTGCAAACTACATCTATAAATTCAGCGCTTCAATCCTTTCAAGGGATCGTGAATGCTTTTAGCTGCACGTGTTTACTGTGAGAGCAGAATTTGCGCACTTGTTGGACAGCATTGTGTGTTTTCCCCGGACGGATGTGCGGCCAATTACGGAGAAAGAACTCTCATTTTCCCGAGTCGAGTCACGCGCGCGCGGCCTGCCTAGCAAAAACAAATACATAAATCCGGTCGCTGCACTTTGTGGAAACTGCAGCACCACTTACATCATTTCTTCCTTTTCTTATCTTTTCGTGTCCCTTGCCGCGGCAAAGAAAACAAACGGCAAGAATTAACTTTCCCGGACATGTTTGTCGCCCATTCTGTGAGTGGGGCGCCCCACGTGTGCTAATAACCAAAGGCACGCCAGCCATCTATTCGGCGGCTTTATTAAATTAATTACTCGCGTCTGCTCTTGATTACACTGTTCGCAGCGCACAAAGGAGCCGCAGCAGCTCTGCAAAGTGTTGCGGCCGCTCTCTGAATTTGAATTTTCCGACCGACTTTGCACACATATGCAGCCCGCTGGAATCCTGCGAGACGCGGGTTGCATAACTCGCAACTTCATTTTCGTGTTTGCGCATCGAATTCCCAATGAAATGTGTGAGGAATTCCTATGGTTAAATGCATTTTTGCTGGCTGTCAGTGTTTTCATAGTACTAAATACCTACAAAATCAGCATACGGGTATGTGTTTTATCGTAAATGGATTTAAAAAAAGAAATGAAAGTTAACAAAAAACAATATTTATTTAATATTATTCTTTAATTATTTCCATTTTAATATTAAATTTACAGATTTAAAGTTTTAAAATATAAAACTACATAATAGCATTTTATAGGAATAAGTGGCGCTTATCACAATTGAATTATCGGTGAAGTGACAAATTATTTTATACGAGTATTTTAGACATGATTTTCAAACATTTATATAATGTTGTGGCAACACATTATTATAGTCTTTTGAGTAAATATTCCTTGTGTATCTGCATGCAACTTTGTGGATGAAAAATCTTTAATGTAGTAAATTAATTAATAAAATCTAATTGAATTTTAAGTAATCGCTGTTGAGGCAAATTATCAAAGAAAAGGTGAAATGTTAACAATAAGAGAGCTTGAAACTTAAAATCTAAGAAGTTGCCATTTCTTTTAATTTATTAGGAAAATGCCATATGAGTAAAAATATAGTTATGCACTGAATTGAATTAAATCTACAATCTAGGGTTCACAGGTTGTTCAAAAATTTATACCAACACAGAAAGCAGTGCAATCAAAAGCAACATTCTCTCGCGTTCACAAATCATCTTTATCGCGCCGCTCAAAGATTTATTCCTCCGTTCTTGCGGGGCGCCATTTTTCGACCCCCGCGAATTGCAGCTGGCCGTAAAACTCTCATGCCGTGCAAATAAAAGAAACAAACAGTGCTAGTTCCCCTTGAGATAGAGCTCGGTCCACAAATCTCGCCGCCACACGTCGTAAAAATCACACATTTTCCGGTAGCCTCGCCCGCTCGCGCGTGTGAGAGAGAAAAAGAAGGAAAAGAAAGGAGGCAATTACCATTATATTCCCAGGGATCGGCGCGATGAATTACGGCCGACTTTAATTGCCACCTGCATTGTGCTCGCCTGATGAGAGGGGTGGCTAAAGACCTCGAATCTGTATTAATTATCGCGCAATTACGAATATTATTCTCATTAGCGAGCGAATTTATACTGCCGAGAGAGAGAGAGAAACAGCGTGCATGTGTGTGTGTGCGAAAACACGCGCCACAATAAATTTGCCCGTTTATTGCCGCTTTTATTATCCAGCCGCGAGCAAAGTACAATGCAAATACACCACTCCTGCATTAGGCACCTATCCGGCGCAAAAATAATATGCCGACCAACTCGGTCTCGCGCTTAAAACGCGGCGATTTGCGACTAAATGTGAGTTTTACTACCACCGTTTGAATGAGGCATGAATACGGTTTTGGTCGGATTAATGGATGTTCTGAGTGCATTAAAACTTAATAAAAGTACTAACTTGAAACGGAATGATATATTGAAATTAGTATGGTTTAATACAACTTGAAAAATTAAGAGCGGTGCTAATTTACAAGAAGCTATTAAAATATTTTGGTAATAGGAATTTCGACAAACAGCTTTTGACCGAACAAAGTGGCGGAAACTGAACGCAACTGGGCCAAATATTTATTTATTGTGCTTAAAATTAGCTTAAATAACCTACCGAATATTTAATGCGAAACTAAAAACATCATCATTTGACTGAATATATTTCACCTGAAACCCACTTAAAACCTAAAACTGATTTTGACCAGATTTGATAGCTATGGTGATTTTATTTTAAAAATATTTCTATTTTTCATACTTGCGGATCAAATTCATGAAATTTTTATCAAATTTTGGTTAAGTGTTTATTAATGCTTATTTACTCTCCTCTTTTAATTTTGAATTTTATGCATGACATATTTCATAGATCCTTTTTTTATTCTTAATTGAAATTCAACAATTCAATTAAAATTGCAACACTGAGCTATTTAATTCTGTTAGTTTTCTTAGCATATTACTTCCATATTGTAATGTTTTGAAATGAACAGTTCATAAGATTTGATTTTTTTATGCATGGGGAACGAATTTAATATAATAAATAGTCACTTACTTTCTAATCAGATTATAAAAAAAGACTTTATGGGATTTAATTTACATCGACATAACATTTAATGCTATTTTCACAAACAGCTGCTTTTTCGCTTCACCCAGTGGCAAGCAAGCATCTCAAGTAAACTTTTCGCTGCAGATATCTGGCACAAAAGAACCATAAATTATTCTGAGCCGGGGGCACTTCAAAGATTCTCGCGCCATTAATTAAAAAGCCGCAGGAATGCGTTGAGCGACGACGAGTGCAACGCCAGGGCGAGAAAGAGCAGGGAATCCGTCGTCGTCAATTAAAAGTTGCTTCTTTTGAAAAGCGTGGCGCCGGCGTTTTCCCCGCGAACGGAGCAGGAAAGAAGGCGACTACATGTTAATGATCTACACATCCAAGCAGTGAGCGAGCGAAGCCTTTAATCTTCGCTACTTTTGAACGAGAGAGCGCAAAAAATCACCCACTCACCTCTTCCGGCTGCTCATTTTTTTCTCCCGCATATATTCAAAAGAGGAAAACGCACCCGTCTTTTCATCGGCCGTGAAAAGCACCACGGTTTTATAAAGAAATTAAAAAAAAAACCGCTTGCAAGCATGTCTTTTGGCGGGAAAAAAAATCTTCTTCCACCGAGCTGCATTTGCCGGTCGTTACTGGTTAGTTTTGCAACTCTTTTCTCCCCAGAAGAGAAAATTCCAAGCACGCACCGCCGGCGTGTTCCCCCTTTCCGTATCAACTGCGTGTGCAATATGTTTCCGTCCGAGCTGGAAATTTATTTTCAAACAGCTTCTATGCTGGTCACTGCGCCCGAAATGATAATACGCTTCAAAGGAAACGCTCTCTAATTATTGCGTAATTAATCTGGAAACGAGTGCGGCCGGCGCAAAACAGCGGGCGAACCTCAACACGGCCGCAATTTCCATCAGCAGCGACGTTGGATGAGCGAAAACGAGCCAGTCTCGCAGGAGAAGTGCATGTGCTCGGGGTGTGTGTTTCTCCTTGCCAGCCACGAGCGTGATCAGGCACGGACAGAGCTCAAATATAAATTCAAAATAAAATATTTTTTTTGCATGACAAGTCATGGTACTAAATAATCATTTGAAACAATTGCAACTGTAGTTACGAACTATTAATACGGAAATTTCCTTAACAAAAAGTTTAAGCACTGCAGATTTTGTTCAATTTCAAACTATTACGCATATAATTTTGATTAAATTTTAAACAATTTATTTTGAATGATTAACTAGCTAAATAAAAATTCAAATTCAAAGTAAAAGGTACAGAAAGAGTACAAGCAATTGATTTAACTTAATGAAACTTATGTGCTCTGTTTTAAATATATTTTTAGGTCACAATATTCGTTAATAGGTCACAATATTCGTTAATAGGTGACATATCAAATTTGCTTTCTACTTTTGCAATCATCTGACATTATTAAACAGCAATATTTAGATAAATTATTTAAAAATAAATACTAATGTTCTTATTTTAAGTATAAATCAAATAAAAACTGCAAAATAATTTTGCGTTAAATAATTTTAAAATTATATAA